CCTCTGAAGATGCCGGCCACAGAGACTGGCGAAACAAGCAACAAGGATTCCAATTTACATAAAACTTAATACGTTAATTTATATGTGCATATGCAAAATTAAACATAATTTCTGCTATGTGAACAGAATTGCAACACAACTTACCCCTGATCTCCCTTCTTGTGGATTTTATCTTCCCTTCACACTCGGACGGGATGACCTTTCAAATACTGTACAGGAAAGTTTCTTTGCTACTTGTGGCTTCAGAGAGTTGCTGCTGATTAAGCCCAAAGTCCCAACTGTGATGGCCTGTGATCAGAAGTTTCAAAGTTAGTGGTTAAGTGCTGTAATGGTGGAAATCCTATTGTAATGGAGGAGTCGTACTGTCAACATTTGGGCTTAGCCTTTGAAAACCACTTACAAAATAGTCTGAGTAAATTTTTGAATTGTGGAAGGTGTGAACGGCATCTTTTTATTTATTTATTTATTGGACTTGTATACCGCCCCATAGCGCTACAAGCACTCTCCGGGTGGTTTACAATTTAATTATACAGGCTACACATTGCCCCCCCCCAGCAAGCTGGGTACTCATTTTACCGACCTCAGAAGGATGGAAGGCTGAGTCAACCTTGAGCCGGCTACCTGGGATTTGAACCCCTGGTCGTGAGCACAGTTTTAGCTGCAGTACAGCGTTTTAACCACTTTTTATGACAATCAGGCGTCCCCAGCTCATACAGGATCCCCTCTTCTAAGGATGGCTTATCTGTAGCATCGTACAGTAGGACCCCCATATCTGCAGGGGATCAGTTCCAAGCCTCCCCCCCAACAGATGCCAAAACCCACAGATAATAGCAGATGCAATAAATAGCATGGTCTCTGGCTCCCTCTAGTAGCCAGTTCTGACAACTATAACATGGAAATACATGTTTCTGGAATTTTTCTTTTAATATTTTTAAATATTTTTACAGATAAGTGAAACCACAGATGCTTATCCCATGGATATGGTGACCCTATTGTAATACTGGGCCAGATGGACAGGCAGGATCTAGCAAAATGAAGCTTCCTGTTTAGAGAAATACCACCAGCTCAGCAATGGGACACATCCTTTCCAAAAAGGAAGACCAGCATTCTGTTTCCAGCTTTTTTATTTTAAAAGATCAGTTAGGCGTAGTGGGGGAAAGACCCTTCTCTGAGACAAGAAAAAGGGTTGCCAGTCAGAACAATGCCACCCCAGATGGGCAACACAGCCTGACTAGGTTTTCATGCGTTCTGGAGAAAATCAAACTACTGGGTCTAATTTTTTCCCATTGTTAATCCCAATTAGAGTAGACCTTGAATCAATGTTAAATCTTAGATTAGGCATGCTTCAGTCTCGAGAGACTATAGTAACGTGCTCTGTATGGAGGACTTGGAACAGCATCTAGTGTGTCTGAGAAGGCCAATTCGAGAGTGACCATTCCTTCCACACTGAAGACAAATAGACTGTCCCTGTCCAGCTCCCTGATTTTGCTGGTTTCGAGACTGCCTCTTTGCCTCGGCCCTGCCTCCAGGCTGAATGCTCAGAGGTCAAGGTTTCCCATCTGTTGAGGTCCATTCCTAAGGCCTTCAGATCTCGCTTGCAGATTTCCTTGTGGTCTCCCTCTGGGGCAATTTCCCTGGACTAATTCTCCATACAGGAGATATTTTGGAATCCGACCATCAGCCATTCTCATGACGTGCCCAAGCCAACATAGACGTTACTATTTCAGTAATGTGTACATGCTAAAAATTTCAGCTCATTCTAGGACGACTCTATTTGGAACTTTGTCCTGCCAGGTGATACCAAATGTTAAATCAATATTTATATAAATCCCATTGAGTCAACGGGTCTTCTCTAGTTCAGGGTAACAACTGGATCTTGGCCGACGAAGACAACTTTCTGTGTTCCAGACAGCAAGACTGCTGCTCTTAAATGAATGTGCTTTTTGGATCATCTCTTTGTCACAGGGTCCTGCGCCATTAAAACATGCAAAACTGGGTGGAAAACCTGTCTTTGCATAGGATGGCCATTGCAGCTTTTTGGACATCCTAAAAGGAAAGGACATTTTGGCTTTACCCGTTTCCCCGAACTGTCTGCTTTGTCTGTGTCTCTAGAGCCTGTCCTTTTTCAGCAGGTCATCTCCAGCGTCTAGACAGTCCCATTCATCGCATCACAAGACGAATCCCAGGTCCTCCCAAAGCAGATCCTGTTCATCAGAGACAAGGTGAGCTATATTTTGAGGTGTGTGTGCATATGTATATACAGTGGTGCCTCCCATTACGACATTAATTCGTTCCAGCGAAATTGCTGTAGAATGAAAACGTCGTAATGCGAAATTAAAAAGTCCATAGAAATGCATTAAAACCCAATTAATGTGTTCCTATGGGCTTGAAACTCACCGTCCAGCGAAGATCCTCCATAGCGCGGCCATTTTCACTGCCTGTGCAGCGAGGAATCTGTCCCAGAAAAGAGCGGGGAACCATGGTTTTTACCCGGTGGCCATTTTGAAACTGCCGATCAGCTGGCCGAAAATCATCGCTTTGCGAGAATCAGTTCCCGAAGCAGGGAACCGATCATCACAAAGCGAAATGCCCCTATTGGAAACATCGTTTTGCGATCGCTTTTGCAATCGCAAAACCTTCAACGTCAAGTGATTTCGTCGTAAAATGGAGCACTCGTAATGCGAGGCACCACTGTACAGCTAATTATAATATAGATTCAGGTTTTCAGCTTCCCCGATAAGCATGGGGAGGTGTAGAGAGAAGAGGCGAAAGCATGAGGTCAGTGAGGTAGTGGAATATTCTGAAGTGTCATCAAAACCAGTCTCAAAAGCCAGACTCCCAAGGAGATTCCAAAAATGGAGACAGGTGTTATAGAGCCATAGCAGCAAATCAGATCGACCAGTTTTCATCTCCACCAGAAGAGGTGTTTTGTGAACTTAGTTTTGCCCATTCAAAACTAAGCTACTCCAAAATTGTTTGTATTATAGTAACTGGCTTCAGGTCACCTGGGGAGTTTCATGGAGACTTGAACTGGGATCTAAATCCCAGTCCGAAACTGTCACCACTAGGCATGGGACTTTTGGATTTCTTTAGACTTCCATTCCCCAAATTCTACAGAAATTCTCCCAGCCAGAATTTTGGAGCCTTTAACCAAGAGGTTAAGATCTTCATAGGAATTTTTAATCACTTACAGCTGAGGACTGAAGAACGTTGAGACTGGTAGGCTCTCTGCCCATTAGGCTCAGTAAAAGGACTCTCAAAAAACTACCAGGACCCTCAATCCCTTGTCATTCCCATCGGATTTAGCCACCTGCCCACCCATTTCCTCTTCCTTCATAGGAACAACATGGCTTCACTCCTCATCTGTAAGTAACTGAACACTATTGTATGGATTTTCGTTTCTTGGCTAAACCCCCCAGAAGTCTGGCTAAAGGAAATTCTTGGAAAATTCTTGGGACTGAAGTCCAAAAAATTCCAATGTTCCTTGCCTAGTAAACCCTATCCCACCCTAGCCCTACAGGAAGCAGTAAGAGACAATCAACCCCAGATAAGGACTTGCTAATCTTTCTCCCCACCTCCTGTTTGGGAGATGCCTCTTTCTCCTGCTCCCCCCCCCCAATCTGTTTGTTTCCTGCTTCTCTGCTCCATCCAGATCCTACTCGCGCTCCCCCAGCTACTCTTCCAAGTCATGCAAGAGACGTTCCGAAAGCAGGAGCTCAAGGCAGCGACGGAGCCCCAGCTATTCTCGGTATAGCCCTAGCCGGTATGTCTCATCATCACACACCATATCATATCCCGCACGAAAGTGACCACAGGGATTTTGGTTTACAGTATTTATATTTGCAAACCCTCTTGCATGTGAATGAATGAATTAATTAATTATTAATAATTCATTCATTCATTTATTCATTCACTCATTCACCCGCTCATTCATTCATTCATTCATTCATTCATTCATTCATTCATTCATTCAATTTATTGCCAGTCATCTAATAAGAACAACAATCTTTCTGATATCCAGAAAAGTGAAGTTGGAAAGAGCCTACAAGGCCATCAAGTCCAACCCCCTGCTCCATGCAGGAATACAATCAAAGCATATCTGCCAGGTGATTATGTTTTTCTTGAATGGCTCCAGTGTTGGAGCACTCACTAACTCCCGAGGTAACTGGTTCTACTGTCGTACTGCTCTAACAGTTAGGACGTTTTACTGATATTCAACCGAAATCTGGCTTCCTTTAACTTGTGCCCATCGTTGCGTGTCCAGCATTCTGAGATGATCGAGAACAGATCCTGCCCTTCCTCTGTATGACAGCCTTTCAAATATTTGAAAAGTGCTATCATATCACCCCCTCAGCCTTCTTTTCTCAAGGCTAAACATGCCCAATTCTTTTCCCTTTCCTCATAAGGCTTGGTTTCCAGCCCCCTGATCATCCTTGTCACCCTCCTCTGAACTTGTTCCGATTTGTTAGCATCCTTCTTGAAGTGTGGTGTCCTGAACGGGACACAATACTCAAGGTGAGAACTAACCAGTGTGGAATTTTTTTTTGTTTCTTAGACTACACATCCCATCATTCTCATTGTGGGAATTCTACCTGACATGTTAGGTAGGCGTGTTATGGATTTCTTGATGTTATGGACACCTGGGAGAAAGGCCTCAATTAGGGAGGCTTTGAGGCTGAGCGAGGCATGGCCCTGCCCAGGTTACCCATTCCTGGGAACTTTCTTTTTGAACAGGAAGTTAGACCTTAAGGCCTTCCAGTCTGGACTGGTGGTTTAGTGATTCATGCCTGTTCTTTCTTCGGATGAAGAGGTGTTCAGAGCTGCAGGGAAACCAGGTTGCTGCCTCTGAGTGAGTGCCCACTCGAGGAAGTAGGCTGGGAACCACCAAACACCTGCTCATTGGAAGAACAAACTGGCATGAAGGTTCGTGCCCATCTCTGTTCAGAAACTTTTTATCATTGTATGGCGAGGTACCGTATATTAAACCATATGTATATGGAAAACACCTATAATGGCCAGCATTCTGTCCAGAACACAAGCCAGTTGTGTCACTGTTTCCACACTCTGGGAAGTTCCCTATTGTGTGGCCGGTCACACAACTGACTGTACAATCCATCTCACAAGCAGTGCGAGGTCAAATATGCAAAGAGGAGCCTGCTGGACCAGGAGAACACTTACAAAACTGCACTTAAACAATAGTGTAACACAATCAAATCCTGGCCTCTTTTTTAAAAAAAGAAAACCATGAGCATTCTATGCAGAACACAAGGCAGTGGCTTCACTGTTTCCCCACTCCAGGAGGTTCCTGGTTGTGTGACCAGTCGTGCAACTGACTGTACAATCCATCTCACAAGCAGTGCGAGGTCAAGTCTGCAAAGAGGAGTCTGCTGGACCAGGAGAACACTTACAAAACTGCACTTACACAATAGTGTAACACAATCAAATCCTGGCCTCTTTTTTAAAAAAAGAAAACCATGGCTAAAAATTAATAAACTTACTTTATTTGACAATTTCCTTCTTTTAATCAACATTTTAATTGACTGCTTTTAATGGATTCCCATTTTATTTGGTGAAGCCTTTCACTCAGGCAACAGATGCTGTGAGGCAGCAGCAGTACACTGGGAGAATGGGGTATCATAAAGTCTATACTGTACTATAAAGCCTAAGTTAGCCAGTTGCCTTTAGGTGCTGAAGAGGTCTCTGTCACATTGGCAGAGTTGACCTGCTATTCCATTTTTTAAATGGAATAGGTACCATCTTGCTGTTTGCTGCAGGCGACAAAATAACTTAGGTCGGTCATGGAGTTATTTGTTGAGAATTTTGATTATAACATTTATTCTCATAACTTCAGCAGAATAAGATTGGTTAGCAGATATACTTATGACACTACGACACAGAGAGAGTAAAACCAATACATATATACATAGAGAATCGACATTCCTCTGGCAGCATAACATGACACGGAGCAACACAGAGCAGAGGAAAAAGTGATCTGACTTACAGCGGAGAGAGACGTTCATTTTACACATGACTTATGTACAGTTCTGTGACCCATTAGAAAATACATTACTTCATTTTCTGTTACACAAAAGTTTCATCATGTACACAGCTGTACAGCATTAAGTCTTAATCCTTGATAGTAGTAAGCATCCTTCAGTCTCGAGAGACTATGGTAACGTGCTCTGTATGGAGGACTTGGAACAGCATCTAGTGTGTCTGAGAAGGCCAATTCGAGAGGGGAAACGTTGACCTCTGAGCTTTCAGCCTGGAGGCAGGCAGTGCATCACAGCCTCTCCCAATTTGAAGAGACCCTTGTCCAGCAGGCTGAGGCAAAGAGGCCATCCCGGAAGCAGCAAAACAAGGGAGCTGGACAGAGGACAGACTGGATTTGTCTTCAGTGTGGAAGGGATGGTCACTCTTGAATTGGCCTCCTCAGCTGTTCCAAGACCTCCATACAGAGCACATTACCATTGTCTCTCGAGACTGAAGGATGCCTACTACTATCAAGGATTAAGACTTACCGTATTTGCCGCCGTACAAGATGACTGGGCGTATAAGACGACCCCCCAACATTTCCACTCAAAATATAGAGTGGACGGCTCTGCTGCGGCGCCGGCACCGGCTGTCCGGGGCTCTGCCCAGGCATGCCCTGGAAGTTCATGGCTGGCGATGAGGAGGTCAAGGAGGGGAGGCGGCAGCAGCAGAGGGGGAGAGGTCCATTCCTAAGGTCTTCAGATCCCGCTTGCTGATCTCCTTGTATCGCAGCTGTGGTCTTCCTCTGGGGCGATTTCCCTGCACTAATTCTCCATACAGGAGATCTTTTGTAATCCGACCATGATCCATTTATTAAGGTAATCCTTGATGCCCATACCTAAATACAACCAGTACAGTGACTCAGGTAAAATCAGCCATTTTACATTGAACTATACAACATTAATATTTGATACATTTTCATATCAAAATCTCAACATTATTGTCCCACCGACCTAGCCATCCTTGCCCAATAAGGAGGAGCTATTAGGCCTCCTGAGAATATCCATATTGATTGCAAAGAGCACAGAGACAGAAATCAATGGGATGTGGCCAAACATTACATAGTTTCCTTCATCAAGGCTAAGTCACATGGACCCTTTCAGGTATTATCTGTTTCTCAGGGACCGTGAAGAGGAGGATCACAAGTATAGCTCCGGCAGAAAGGAGTCACACGGGCATCACGGGCGACAGCGTCGCAAACAGTCTTACTCCCCTCTACGGAAGCGCCGGAGAGATTCTCCCAGTCACCTGGAGGCACGGCGCATAACAAGGTAAGATATAAGGGTTTTTTTTAAAAGCATGGTTTAATTCTCTGGGAGGCAAAACATGGCAGTGTTCTTACAACTTGTTTCAACGTGAAGGAAGGAATAAGTTAGGCTGCAATCGAACAGAGGACAACAGCTTGTGTTTTTAGACCACTTGTAGCATCGTCTGGTTTGAGCTGTCTTCGGTTGATCAGACGATATTATGGAAATCACAAAGCAGCCCAACTCCGTTCCAGGCCCAATCTGGACCTCCAATCTGGAGCTGGGCTGGAGCAATTCCTGTCTCCATGCAAGAGTCGCTTTAAGGGAGATCACTCACAATGGAGTGACCCTTTCTGGTCAAAGGTTTTCCTATACTGTATCACCGTCCAGTTGCACCCTCACTAGGGAACTCTGGCCTTGTGCTAGAAGGGAGGATGTGCTGGAAAGTACGGCTCCCGAGCCCTACCTATAAAATAAATTCTATAAATGCAGAACTAACTCGCCTTTTTCACCTCCTCCTCCTGCTTTTGCCTTTGCAGCGCCCGAAAACGCCCCATCCCCTACTACAGACCAAGCCCTTCCTCCTCCTCTTCCAGCAGTATGAGCACTTACTCCTCGTGGTACAGCTGTTACAGCCACTCGCCTGACCGGAGTCGCAGCTACTCCAGCAGCCGGACCAGCCGCAGCAGAAGCTGGAGCAGCGACAGCAGCAGCCGAAGCCCCAGCCGCAGCTCAGCGGCGAGGAACAGCTGGCGGAGCGGCAGCAGGAGCTCGGAGTCGGTGGGCAGCTACGATAGCATACGGCGTTAGCAGAGAACGTGCAGACGCGCTTGGATGCCCTCTTAGTCCCCCTCTGCTAGAGTCGGCGGGCAGCTACGACAGCATGCGGCGTTAGCGGAGAACGTGCTTGGATGCCCTCTTAGTCCCCCTCTGCTCTGCCCTAACAATGCGATGTCTTTTTGCGAGGGCCAAAAACCCATTCCTTATTAACCAGAGGCGAACAATGTCACAACAACCCTACAGAGCAGGACACGTCTCAAAGGGAAGATTACAAGTTTAATGTTTTTCCCCTCTTGGGGAGGGGACTGTGCCATCAATCTTGTTCAATGTAGACTAGAAAATACAAAGCCAGATCCTCTCAGCATGCTTCCACCGTATGAACAAGAGAGCAAGCAAACAACCAGGATCCAGTTCTCAAAATCGGAAACCTCTGAGCCCATCATCCCCGTCACGTCCACATCATTAAACTGTCCCGTGTAGGGACCGCTGTCCAATCTCCACCATGCACAGCCCAACCTCAACAGGTTGGGCCGACGGAGGACATTTTCCTTCTCATGTCGAAGCAGAAAGATACGGTGCCTCCTATTATATCTAAGCCCACCAAGTTATTTTGGCACCTAAAGCTGGAAATGTCACAAGGGCCTCTTCCCCTTCCGGTCAGGAAAAATACATAGATATGTACCTTGCTATCTGTGGCCTATTCATGACAACAAACGCTTGCCCCGGGCAACCCCCTCGCTCTGCCTAATGGTAGGGCCAGCCCCATGTGAATGATTCTGGATGCTCCCTAATGAGCAAGGCAGGCTATGGGAGAGGAGTTGGTATGAATCTCCTTGGAGCTTTGATTCAAATCCAGCCATGCCTCCGGCTTTCCCTTCATACCCTCAGTCTTTCCTGGAGGCCATGGTGTTGCCTATACAGTGGTGCCTCGCTTAACGATTGCCCCGCATTATGACAAATCTGCTTGACGACGATCTTTTTGCGATCGCAAGTGCGATCGCAGAACAATGGTCTAAATGGGGGAATTTCGCTTTGCAATGATCGGTTCCCTTCCAGGAACAAACCCACCCACCCTCCATTTTGAGTATAAAAAAGAACAGGTGAATTTATCTATTTCAAGGCAAATTCTCTTCCCTCAAGATATTTCAAAGTTATGGAATAGCCTTTTTGGGGGAAAAAAATAGAACTAATGTTTGAAATTAAGGGGGGCACTCCTTATTTGGGGGAAAAACTAGGTCCCATCTTCTGCATTCAGTGTGGACAGAGCAGATGCATGACTTATTTTGCCTTTCTTGTCATCAAAACCAAGTGGGCCCTCAACTAGTTCTTGGAGGCCAGGCTAGAGATGTGATGGAATGAGGCGCCAAAGGTAGCAAAAAATGGGAGCTTGAAGCTTCAGGCCTCTTGATAGTTTCACTTTGATGGTCCTGCCTTAGATGGGGGGAGGGTTGGAATTGGAGGGGGACGGTGAGTTAACCTTTTCCTTCATTACTTTTTCCTTCAAGGTTGAAAACAATCTCCAAAGCACGTGATTTTAAAAGAGAAATTTGCAGTGGGGCAGAAAGGGGGTTCATTTCTACACCCCAAAACCCCACGCTCGTGATCCACTGGGCTGGGTGACTGATGTCGCCATTAGGTCTAACTCCCATGAGGTCTAACTACATTGCATCTCTTCTGGCACAGAGATAGGGGAAGTTATTGATTGATTGATTGATTGATTGATCGGTCGATCGATTGATCAGTCGGTCGATCGATCGATCGATCGATCGATCGATCGATTTGTTTGTTTGTTTGTTTGTTTGTTTGTTTATTTGTTTGTTTGTTTATTTATTTATTTATTTATTTATTTATTTATTTATTTATTTATTTATTTATTTATTTATTTACTGCCTGCTACTCATAAAATCTCCCTGCCAGTACAGGACTT